AGATTGGGTTTACACAAATTTGGACTAACTTACAGTCTCTTTTAATATAAGAAGACCAGTACTAGAGTTTATTATTGAGAAAGCAGATTATAACTGCTAAGGATTTATTAGTATATAACTACGAATATTTTTATAAAAAATGCTTGTTATATCATACACATTAATTGGTTTTTTTATCAGTTCTGCAGTTTATAAAACAATTTTTGCTTTATGTTCTTTAGTAACAACCAGTGAAAATGATTTTCTTTTTCATTGACAATGATAACTTTTAAATTTAGTTGAACAAATTTAAAATTAGTTGATTTCTCTTATAGTGATGCAATAAAATCGTTCTAATGAATTTTTGAAATACAACCAGTCACCTGTTGAATGATGAAAGTTCTACATGCAAGCAAGAAATAAGGTATTGGGTTATTAGAACAAAAGGTTATAGTAAAGGAAATAACCGCACATTATTGACCAATGATTAATGATCAAATGTAATGTAGCGTGATCAAGAATAACGTAAAAAAACTTGCTCCAAAAATTTACATAACAAACCAACTTTTGCGCTTTAACAAAATTCTTTATTGTGAAATTTGTCTTATAATGTCAATTCTTTCATAATAATTCTAATCATAAATTTAATGAACAATGAAAAATGTATTGATTATCATGTATATGGATAAATCTCAATCATAGGGTAAATGTAGGTGATCGAGATTGAGATCAGGTACATAATATGACGCAATAATTAAAATATAAGAATAATTTGTTATTGATTGTAATAAAAGACAAAGAAATAAATAAAGAAAATTGGTCTTTTACTTGAATTGATCAATAAATAACACATATATACCTAGTAATAAAAATAACAAGATCTTGCAAAATATTCTACAACAGGCAGTACTGAGTTGGATTTTGGTAGTAGCCTACTAATGCTTTACCCCCATAACAGATCTTATTATGCATATTAATAATTATGCACTTTTATCAGTTATATAACTTTAATTAAATTTAATAGCGTAATTTTTAATATATCCTATTAAATATAAAAATAATTTAATTATGGTGCATAAAACAAATTATGATCCGATCACAATAATACGGTACTATATGCGTAATCTAAGATATTATAGTAAGTTATACTTGCTTTGAGATTTTACTACATCGCTACTCTTTAATACTTTATTATTTATTATCAAAATTATGGCATCATTTTATCAGAACATGTCAAGATCAACTTATTTAAAATTTAAGATATTTAAATTGAAAAAAGACTAATTTTTAAAAAAAATTTAAAATTGAAAAATTAAAATCGAAAAAATTTGAAATTAAAAAAATTTAAAATTTAAAATCGAAATTTAAAAGTTAAATTTTTTTTAAAAAAAAAATTTAAATTTAAAATTCTTAAAAGGAGCTACAAATTTTATATGTATTATAAAATAAATTAACTTTCTGTAACTTCTATTTATCTTAATTAGGTTCATATTCAGAATTTTAAATTTTACAAAAATAGACTACACATGCCAATAATTTTATAAACAAGCTAACAGTTATTAAAAAACTATTATTCTTGTGGCAAAAACATATCAAAGTGAGCTCTATTGCATTTTAAAAATAGAATCTTATTCACTAAATCTGAAGACAGGTGGGTTCATTTTGCCAAAATATGATTACCAATATTAGAGAATAATTGTTTACTTAGAACTGATGTTGCTGGGATAGAAAGATATTTATATGCTAATTGGACTAAGACAGACAAGCTTAAAGGATTATCATTAACTCTGATTTCTTTTAACTTAATATAGTTCTTTACTTCATTATCTTTTTCTGTTTCGGCTTGTATAGAACTCACTTCCAACTTATGAAAAAAGTCATCATCATCATTATTATGATTTTTATCTACCAAATTCTCTTCATTGTTATCCGGAATAGCAAGTTTTATCTTTAATTCATTATATAGAGTCTTCACCAAATTCTGTGCTTTGCTTCGCTCAATGCTTGTCACCCAATTGAAATGTTTGAACCTTGGATCGAGGAATGTGGCAATTAAAACAATATCTGTCAGAACTTCCCATAATTCATCTAATGACAGATAAATAGCGGCTCGAACTCTAATAAGCAAACCATTAGTATCAACAGAGGGCAAATACTTTATTTGGTCAATATCTTCCAACTTAGTATTATTAGATTATCTTCGTATTCTTGTATTTCATTCTTGGCTTTGACTATAAGAAGCCATCTTTTGTCTAAATTGTCTATATGCATACTGCTATTGTTGACGAGTGCCAGCAGCAGGAATATTATCATCAGATTCATTACTTTCATTTTCATCATCTTCAGCTTCTTCTCCATAAATTAGATCCAAATAGTTATCGACCATTTCACCTGTCTTCAGCGCAAACGCTTTTTTAAGCAATTCTATGTATAGATAGACAAGATTAATAGTTAGATATTTGGTGCTGCATAAATGTCGAGTTACTCTTTCAATCGGTTTCAGTAAGTTCACTACATCTTGCAAAAATCTATATAACAAAAAGAAAAAACTTTAAATCTTATTAAATATTACTTTATTTTTAAATTTAGAGCATGAAAAGATAGACAAAAAGGATAAATTAAATATAGATATGATCTAATTTATATAACTTGGGCAAAATAAAACTTGAAAAGAAATGATTCTAATTTTAAAAGAGTCTAGCTTATGTCATAATATGCAACTTTAATTAGTAAATTAGAATAGTAGTGATAAAACAATTTACAATCATGTGATCGCCAACATTTTCGACCTTTAGAAGCTATTATTAATTAATAATAAAGCTGAACTTCATTATCCTTCATATATTAGGCTTTTGTTTAAGTAAAATCTCAAGTTCATGCGATATAGTATTAATAGTTCTTAAGAATTTAATGATTGATTACATGATATCATATAGGTCAAGAATGGTCAATAATTACCTGATTGCAAATTTTTCTGCTACCATTATTCTACCTTAATTAGACTACAAATTAAATAAATTTATTATTACTCTTTTTTGCTAACTGATAAGCACAATTTTTCTAAATTTTCTTTTTCTTTTTGCAAAACACGGTTTTGTTTAGAAAGTAATGAGGCTAAAACAAATTTCATAGTATTATGCAATTCTAAAACACATTTCCAAGCCAAGTAAATAGAATTCCACCTAGTCTTTATGTTTGCTATAATATCAAGTGGACTTACAATAGTATTTTGACTCTCATCATGTATATTATATTCATATTGTACTTCGCATAAATGTTGCACCTGTTTAGGAAGTCAAAAAAAGTCTGTAAACTTTTAACACAACAATAGGTGGCCTTACGCTACTTTAATTCTTTCTTGACTGATAACTGTAATGTATGTGCAGCGCAAGGCTAATACTCTATATTAATAATAGTTTCTTTCAATAATTTTATTTCTTTTACCATATTAGATCCGTTATCAGTAGCTACAGTAAAAATTGTTGTCTCAAGATGCCAATCATGAATTAGTCAAATTAATTCTTCACAAATTACTTCTCTGGTATGTGGATATACAAGGTGATCACAAGAAAGTAGGGCCTCTCGGAACTTAAAATCGGAAGATAGCCAGATTGCTATAACATCTAAATAGCCATGGTGAGATTTTGCAGTCCACAGGTTAGTAGATAAATGAATAGCCATCATGCTACTATTAATTAGAAATTTCAGTTGATCATTACTCCAATTATACACTTTATGAATCAACTCTTTAGAAGTTTTGTCACATGGAATTTGGAATCCAAGTTCACAGGCATAAATAAACTCACGAAAAGATTGATCTTGTAGAATATAAAGAGGTTAAACGAATCGAATAATAAATTGAATTAATTTTTTTGTGATTAATTGTTGCCTTTGTGATGAATATGGTGGTACCGTATTATGATAATAGTCAGTAACTTTGTTTTGATCACATTTTGGCTAAAAATAATTTAATATTAATTATATTTTTAATACATTAAAAAATAAATAAAATATAATATAGATGACACTTTATAAATAATCAACTAATTGTTACTTATATTATATTTCAATTTAGCAATTAATTTTAGAATATCATATGTACTTTGTTATGTTCATCTAAGTGATCAGTATAATTATCTTTAGTTATATTATGCTTGTCATATAAATAGAAAATCATATTTGATGTATTGCCACCTTTACGAGTATATAGATAGGGTTTTTGTCAAGAGCCAGCAAGATTACGCTTACATATTTTATAGTATACAAGACCAGAATTACTTTTATCTATATGAAAAAAAAGCTAGTATAACTTTTATTACTACAGGCAATTTTAGCATTAGCTTTCCTCTTCTTGCGAC